CGGGCCCCAAACATGCCTGGTTCACTGGAGACTCAACCCGATGGGAATGACCTGGGTCCTTCTGAGGACACAGCCCGGGGGTCATCACCTGGGAGCAGGTTGATGTCCTGAGGAAGGACAGGAGGTGGCAAGTGTGAGGACTGAGGTGAGCCCAGCACAGGAGCTGGGGGGGGCGGGGAGGAGGAGTGCGGGGGTGAGTGGGTCTCAGGGATCACCCACTGAGCAGAAAAACAGACACTCGGGGCACCTCAGGCATCTGTCCACGTTCTCCCATCAGCTGCTAAGATGAGTCTGGGCTGATACGCTCGGGACGCCCCCTGGTGGTGGATCTTCTGGGTGCTGCTCCTATCTCCTGTCCTGCAGGGTTTGTGTCTGGGCTCATACCAGCTATCCTCACTGTTCCTCTCGCACAGTAATACACGGCATGACCTCGTGCCTCAGGCTGTTGATCTACAGATACAGCGAGTTTTTGCCTTCGTCTCTGGAGATGGTGAATCGGCCCTTCACAGAGTCCACGTACTCTGTGATGCCAGTATTTGGATTAATTCCTGGAACTCACTGTAGGCCCTTCCCTGGGGCTTGGCAGACCCAGCTCATCCAGATGCTGCTGAAGGTGAAGCCCGAGGCTGCACAGGAGAGCCTGAGAGATCCCCCAGGCTGCACCAAGTCTCCCCCAGACTCCACCAGCTGCTCCTCACACCAGACCTGCAAACACAGACACAGCCCGTCAAGACACTGGCTCTAGGACACTGCTTCACCCCTCTGGCCCGTCCACTCCCAAGCTTTCCTGCTCCCCAGGACTGACCCCCTAGAAGAGCCAGGAGAAGCAGCCAGAACAGCCCACGCTCCAAGGCGAGTGTCCGCATCTGTCCTGACCTGAGTGGACCTGGATCCCAGCTGGGCTCTTGTGCAGAGCCGCAGGGCCAGGCTGGGCTGTTTTCAGCAGCAGGGGGCGGCCCTATTTGCATGTGCCCTGCCATATAGCAGGCTCTGGCTGGGGTCAGGGACAGAGGAGCCAGGGAGGGTCCCGGGACTCTGGGTCATAGATAGTATAGGCAGGTGCCTTATTAGTGACAGAGCTTCCCGTGCTGTTTTTTTGTGTCACAGGAACCGGTATTGTGCGCACAGGTGCATTGTTTGGCTTCTGAAGGGGAGTCGGAACTGGTGTGAGGCTCAGGGTGAATGGAGACTGTTTCAGTCAGTGCCATGTGGAATCTGGGATTATCTTGTGCCTCCACGATTCTGTCCTTTGCCGTTGTTAAACTGCTTTGATTGTTCTATGCGTCTCGGTGTGCAGAAACAGGGACGTTGAGTAGGGTCCTCTCCAGGCAGAATTCCTGGACTGAGGCTGCTATATGCCAATCCAGAGGGAGCAGCTGTCATGTTATGCTACACAGCATCAGCTCTGAGATATCCTTGGTACTTCCCTTGCTCTAACACTGGTGGGGCTGGCCGGTCATGCGACTCCCAGCGACCCCATGGACTGCTGGCCTCCTTGGTCTTTTTGATTTTCTGTCTGATTCTATACAATGAGGCTGCTGTGGAGGTGGACTGTACCTCTGTGGTGTTGTCCCTCCAGGCTTCCTGCTGTCTGCACATAGGTCGAGGCATCCTTTGCATCCCACCAGGGCTGAGCCCAGCTCTGTAGCAGGGTTTAGGAGCGGGGTCCCAGAGTGTAGACATAGAGGATTGAATTAAAATAGAGTCCAAGAGAAGAGGGATCCAAGCCCAAGTCCAGGGGGCTTCCTTGTTGGGGGACCTCACACCGACATGAGCTTCCCCTTGCAGGCTGCTCAGTGTGCATGTGACTTTGTTCTGCTCTGCAGTCTGTGAGCCCTGGCCCCACTGACTGTCATAGGGAGCACAAGAACTCCAGGGAGGGCAGCTTGTTCAGGGTGGTGGGGTCTGGAACACTTATGAGCAAGCGTATCTCCACAGGTGTATTTCCACAGAGACATGTGTTTTCCTCAGAAAATATTTGTCATGGTCACTTTCCCTCAGATTTTCCATTTTGGAAAAGGAAGCGTATCTGCACAGGTATTTCTCAACAGAGAATGCATTTTCCTCAGAAACTGTTTGCCAAGGTATCACTTTTCCTCAGATTTTGCATTTGGAACTCTTATGAGGTATTGTATTTCCATAGGTGTTTGTCCCAGAGACCTGCATTTTCCTCAGAGATTGGTTGAGAAGGTGTCACTTCTCAGATCTGGTATTTTGGAACACTTATGAGCAAGCTGTCTCCACATGCTTTTCTGGTCTGAGACCTGCATTTTCCTCAGAAAATGGTTACCAAGGGGTCACTTATCCACAGATTTTGCATTTGGAACACTTATAAAGAAGATCTCTCTACATTTCTTCCCATCAGACACACACTTTTTCCTTAGAAAACGTATGCCAGGTGTCACTTTTCCTCAGATTTCGCGTTTTGAAACACTTATGAGGAGGATCCATCCACAGGTGTTTCTCATCAGACATCTGCGTTTTCCTCAGACACGTGTTGCCAAGGTGTCACTATTACTCAGATTTTGCGTTTTGGATCACTTATGAGCAAGATCTCTCCACAGTTGCTTCTCGTCAGAGACCCACCTTTTCCTCAGAAAACGGTTACCAAGGTGTCACTTTCCTCAGATTTCACATTTTGGAACATATATGAGGAAGATCTATCTACTGGTATTTCTCGTCAGACACCTGCGTTTTCCTCAGAAAATGGTTGCCATGTTTTCACTTTTCCTCAGATTTTGCATTTTGAAACTCTTATGAGGAAGATTTCGCCACAGTTTCTTCTCATCAGAGTCCCACCTTTCCCTCAGGAAATGGTTGCAAGGTGTCAATTTTCCTCATTTTGTATTTTACGACACTTATAAGGAAGATATTCCACAGGGTTATATGGTCAGAGACTTCCATTTTCCTCAGATAATGGTTGCCAAGGTGGCTCTTTTACTCAGATTTTGCCTTTTGGATCAGTTTTGAGGAAGATCTCTCCACAGGCTTTTCTTGTCAGAGAACTAACTGCCTTTTATCAGAAAATGGTTGCCAATGTGGCACCTTTCCTCACATTTTGTATTTTGTAATATTTATGAGGAAGTTATGTGCATACGTTTCTCTCATCAGAAACCTGCCTTTTCCTTTGAAAATGTATGCCAAGGTGTCACTTTTCCACAGATTTTGCATTTTGGAACACTTAGGAGGAAGATCTCTCCGCAGTAGGAGGAAGATCTCTCCGCAGTTTCTTCTCGTCAGAGACCCACCTTTTCCTCAGAATATGGTTGCCAAGGTGTCGCTTTTCCTCAGATTTCGCATTTTGGAACACATATGAGGAAGATTTACCACAGGTGTTTCTTGTCAAACACCTGCATTATCCTCAGAAAAGCATTGCCAAGGTGTCACTTTTCCTCAGATTTTGCATTTTGGAACACTTATGAGGAAGCTCTCCACACGTTTTTCTCATCAGAGACCTGCATTTTCCTCAGAAAATGGTTGCAAGGGTGCAATATTTCCTCAGACTTTGCCTTTTGGCCACTTAGGAGGAGGAACCATATCCCCACTGTTTTCTCGTCGGAGAACTCTGTTTTCATCAGAAACGTCTTCCCAAGGTTTCATATTTCCTCAGGTTTCGCTTTTTCGGACATGTAGGTGGAATTCTATCTCCCCAGTTTTTCACCCCACAGACAACCGTTTTTATCAGAAATAGCCTACGAAGGTGTCTTATTTCCTCAGATTTCGCTTTTGGGATCATTTAGGAGAAATTACATCTCCATGGTTTTTCGGCTCAGCGACTTCCTGTTTCCTCAGAAACGGCTTCCCTAGGAGTCACATTTCCTCAGATTTTGCTTTTTGGAATATGAAGGAGAAATGTTACCTCCACCGTTTTTCAGCTCAGAGACATCCGTTTTCGTCAGAAACGGACTCCCTAGGGGTCACTTATCCTCACATTTTGCTTTTTGGGACACGTAGAAGGTACTTTATCTGCACCGTTTTTCAGCACTGAGTCCTCCGTTTTCCACAGAAATGACTTTTGTAGGGGTTAGATTTCCTCAGATTTTGCTTTTTGGGACACGTAGGAGGTACTTTATCGGCACCGTTTTTCAGCTCGGAGACCTCCGTTTTCCTCAGAAATGGCTTCCCTAGGGGTCACTTTTCCTCAGATTTTGCTTTTAGGACACAGAGGAGGAACTTTATCTGCACCGTTTTTCAGCTCGGAGACATCGTTTTTGTCAGAAACGGCTTTCCTAGGGGTCACTTTTCCTTGGATTTTGCTTTTTGGAACACGAAGGAGAAATATTACCTCCGCAGTTTTTCAGCTCAGTGACCTCGGGTTTCCTCAGAAACGGCTTCCCAAGGGGTCACTTTTCCTCAGATTTTGCTTTTTGGGACACGTAGGATGTACTTTATCTGCACCGTTTTTCGCTCAGAGAACTCGGGTTTCCTCAGAAACGGCTTTCATCAGGGTCACTTTTCCACAAATTTTGCTTTCTGGGGCACCAAGGAGATATGTTATCTCCTCGGATTTTCAGCTCAGAGACCTCCGTTTTCCTCTGGTACGGCTTCCCTAGGGGTCACTTTTCCTCAGATTTTGCTTTTTGGGACACATAGGAGGTACTTTATCTGCACCGTTTTTCAGCTCAGAGACCTCCGTTTTCCTCAGAAACGGCTTCCCTGGGGGTGACTTTTCATCAGTTTTTGCTTTTCGGAACCAGAGGAGGAACTTTATCTGCACCGCGATAGATCCAGTCAGGGTGTCCTGGGCCAGGACAGAACCTCAGATATGGGCTGGACACCCCCTGGCGCCGACACCGGATGGTGGTCGAGTCATGGACAATGGGGGTGTGGCTTTTCATAACATTCTGAGACCAGGGTGGGTACATGGAGAACAGAGAGGCTGTATGAGAGACCGTAGCGGAGAATTCACTTACGTGGTCTATGGATTGCAAGCCTCCCTGGTGGTCAGGGGCCTCCCTGGCAGTCATGGCCTCCGTGGTGGTCAGGGGACTCCCTGCTCGTCAGGGGACTCCCTGCTGGTCAGGGTTACATCTCAGCGCTCTCACCCCTTTGACCTGAATTAGATTCCTATCCAGGCAGTGACCCACGGCTCTGCGGGTCGCTGTGGGCCTGGAGGAACACAGGGGTCAGGTCATTCCTGAGTGTACCCTGCAGGTGCAGCTCCCCTAACTGATAGCAGGTCCCCGTTTCTGCTCCTGGCATCGTCTTGTAGTGCTGACCACGGGGATGGGGTTTCTGGGCTCCCTGTTCGGTTCCGTGGACCTGTGTGTTTTTACTTATTAGACTTTCCTGGCCGACAGCCTCTCTCTGCCCAGGCCTCTCAGGTAGCAGGCAGAGACGCACCCCAGAGTCCCAGGGTCCAGGTCCTGACCCAGTGGGTTTTGGGGCACCTGGGACTCTGCATTTCTCATGGGCTCTGAGATGCTGCTGTGCTTGTCCTGGGTCCATGTTTGAGAACTGGGGGGTACCTTAGATGTCACGCAGTAGCTGTGTCCATTTTGAGCCTGGAACGGGAACATTGTCACCTGGAAACTGCCTCACCAGGTGACTTCAGACTGTCCCTGAGGAGAATCCGGGCCCTCCCAAGCCTGTGACTGACCAGGAGCCCCACGGCAGCCACTCGAGTCTAGGGCACGTCTTTGGTTTCCTAAAATGGGCTATTAGTAACCGATGCCGTCAGGGAATCAGTGACCCTTACTGAGTCTTTCTGTGTCATACACAGAAACCTTGTGGCACGGACACTGGACGCTGTCACCCACGGGGGTGTAGAGTCTCTTCATGGGGAGTGTCTGAGACACTGGGGAGCCCTTTGCTGAGCTCTTGAGGACTTTTCTCCATGTGTTTAGGGGCAGGATGTCCTATAGGAACTCTGCAGAGTCTTATGGACTCCACTCCCTGCTCCAGTGATTAGAAACTACAACTCCCAGAAGTAACAGGGAGAGACCTGCGAGGACCCAAAGGTGGAGCTAGCAGGGATTCTGGGACATTTGGGGGATAAACAGGGCACGATTGCATCTCGCGCTGTCTGCTCAGGAAGCAGCTCTCCTGACGTTCTGACTCTGTGTTCAGCCAGCCTAGCTGTTAGGTATTCCACTTACTTTGTATCCTGGTCTCTTTCCCTGAATTGTTTCCTGTTCCTTTCCCCTATTGTAAATAAACCTGTTATTGACCCTTTTGTGTGAACCTGCAGTATATCTGAATTGTGAGCGCGGGTGAGGCCCCACAGACAGGCGGCCCAGTCTGGGCTACCCTGTAACACACGGACATCTGGCAAGGGAGGTTCTTTCCTATTTCAGACATTGAATGAGCCACACTCACCTGGGGACTGGAGCTTGCACAGATGATCCACTTTACTTTTTGAGAGTTGTAATGTGTTAAACTGACTTTACCTCCTCTTCTGCAAACCCTTCTATGATTCCTTTGGAGAAAAGTTGGGCTCTTCAGGGAGGGGAAAAAGAAATCAGTGTTTATTGAGCACCTGCTGGAGATGACACGTTCATTACTTAAGCGACGTGACCTCCTTTAATGTCACAATTGAGGTATTATTCCTGCTCTGTGGTGGAGAGTCCTAAGGCACCAAAGAGCCCAGGAACTCATGGACGTTCGCACAAATGAGGACTAAGGTCAGGTATTTCTGGTCTCCAACATCTCTGTATTTTTGACAGAAACAGAGGTTGTCAAATGAGGCTAAAGTGTAAAACCCCTCAGAGGCCAGGAGGAGGTGAGTGTGTGCGACCCCGGCCCTCCTCAGCGCAGTTCCGTGGGTGTTGGGCCTCCTCTTACCTAAGGAGGATTAAAACAAACACTTAAGGTGTCATTGCATTACATGCATATGCTGCCATTAATCTTGCAGGTGATTTACTTAATAGTTGTAGAGTAGCTCTGACCCCACAGGTGATTGCTACAACTAAGAGACAGCAGCTGAAACCGTGTTTCTCTAATTATTCCCATAGGGCGGCTCAAGGGCTGCACCTATCAGAGGGAATTCCTGGAGATCTAAACAGTTGATGAGGGAAAGGCCTCCGCAGGGGCTGCAGCACTGTTTGAGGAGACCCCCACCTTGAGGTGTTAAAGTTTGGGTTTATCACACGAATAGAGTAGGAAGCATCACACCAGCAGCAGTGGCCAGGCCAGTACCTTCAAGATGGTGGTCTTCATGGGGATTGTTCTGTTATGCGTGTTTTTGCTGTTGACAGAAATTCTCCATGAACTTGTGTTATTTTGTGATTGGCTTATTATGTTATTTATAGTTATAAAGTTTAGGTACTTGCATATCACTGTTGGTCATTCTCTTTTCCATATTAAAGCGCACACATCCATGGTTTGACATGACAATGATTATTTTTATCATCACAA